GTGCAGGGGCCTGGGTCCCTGGCTCTGGCTCTGGCCTGGCTCCTGGGGCACCTGCGGAACCCTAGTCTTTTCCAGGGGATGTCTCGGTGACCTAAGGTCGGTCCCAATCGTTTCCTGCACCATGGGGCTAGCTCTCGAGTGAAAATTCCAGTTTCTGATAGTGTGGTGCGCATGGTTCAGTCTGGGACCATGACCAGAGACACTGGCATGTGATTCTGGGCTGGGGCTGGTGGCCAAGCGTCTGGCAGAACCGGGATCTCTTCCTCGGTTTAGCCGGGTGAGTTAAAAGCTGATTGAATCCCCCACCGTGGGGTATCCTCTCACCTGGGAAACACAGTTGCCTGTGTTTTATGGCCGAGAGTTCTGATTGCTGGTCACTGTGCCGATCCTGCATTTGCTGTTACTGATTTGCTGGTTATCTGGACTTCGGGATTTCGGGACAACTCAATTACACCGAAGCGAAGTCATCAACATTTGAAACAAGCTAACTTCTCATTTAGCCATGTCAGATTTTCATCAGCACACTAAACAACAAGCAGGAGAGTATTACTTTTGGATTTCTGATATTGGTATTGCCCCAAAGAATCCTACCACCCCACCCAGCAGGAACTATTATAGAGAGCTCAGCCCCCTGTCCCCACTAACTTTTTTTCCTCATACCTGCTGTTGGGTTTTGGAAGGGAGGTAGAAGCATTTAATAGCCCTAAATAAAGTAGGTTTGTTCAAAAAAAAATCAAGCCCAACACAGAGTCAAGAAGAAAGTCTGTTTCTGGTAGGTGACATCATTCACAAGCCTAGGTAGAGGAATCAGCAATGACAACAGAGATTTGGCTAACTGGTCAGGCTGAACTTGAAGATTCCTATGAACAGGGTAAACTCAGCTCTGCTCTCCCAGAAGCAACTGGTGTCAGCCTTTGCTCATTTCTATGATGTAAATGTATGCACAGTGGGCAGCTAGTTTCAGCCAAGAAGAAATATGCACAACATTGCTTATTGGTTATCATGAGGCAGGCTTAGCACACCTCTGCCCTAGAGCCTTTCCAGTAGAGACAGCCTGAGGACATTTGCAGAGGCAGAACTCAAGCTGAGTTGTTGGCTCTAGTGAGGCATCCCTGTAGGAGTGCATGTTATTGCCCCTGCTCTAAGTCTCTAGAGAAGAACTGTAGCCTAGAGATGCTTTTCTTATGTGAAGGAAGCTGCTATAGAATGTCCATCAGCCTCACTGAGGAATAGCACAAAGGGAGATGGGGTGCCCTGCAGAAGATGTCATGGCAAAGCATGCGTGTTAGACTAAGGGTGCTCAGAGAAGAGAAAACCCAGTATTGAAACTCAAGATTAAAGAGCAGGAGTTTTCCAGATTTACCAGTGAGCATGGTGGGTACTCTGCCCAGTGAGGAACAGAGGACACATGCAATGATTGAGTAATATGGAAAAAAATAAGGCATATTCAAAGATCAACATGAATATGGCCTTCCTACGCCTATGAATACATTCATATTCATAGGATATGAATATACTTCTTAAACAGTTTCTTCAGCCACTTTGTTGATTTACTTCATCTTCTGGACACATATGGGACAAGTGTTCAATATGTTTACATTCATAAATGAACAGAAAAACAAAAATTTAATAAACACAGTTTTGAAATATAAAACTGCATGCCTTCAAACTGCAATGATCTTTTTCTCCGGATTGGTAAAATTCTGTTTATTCTACTCTCTAGGTAAAAGAACATGAGTCAGAATGTAAGACCTGGGGTCTCACAGCTCAGGAGTTCAAGATTGCGCCCTTCCCAGAAACTCCCCCAGACCAAGACTCATTGGAAAAGCAAGAGGTTTATTAACCATTGCACAATGGGGTCACCCCTGCCGGTCAGCAAAGAGTGGCACCGGGAGACAAAGGCCTTTAGGTTTCTAAAAGAAAAATTGCGGGACATTTGAAGTTGCAGTTTTGGCAATTTAGGATTGGATGAGGAAGCTATAAAGTAAGACAATTGGTTAGTCTTAGGTGCTCAAGCTTGGCCAGTCCTGCCAAGTGTGGATGCAGCTGCAATTAAAGATAGGGGTGGTTGGATCATCCTTGAAGCTTAGGGCTGTGGGTTCTTGGCTGGAGGTCAAAAGCTACTCAGAAGAAGTCTGGGTTAGTTGCTAAGAAACACTATCTCAAAGACAAGGGTCTGGTCCTTCTTTTTGCTGAGTGAAGGTCATTCCTTGCTTGCCTTTTTTTATATCTGTCCTCACAGATAGGGTCATATTCCTCCATTCTCTGGAAAGGTACTAAGAGGCTTAACTTAACCTGGACCTAAAACTCAAAACTATAGGATTTAGAAGACACACAGGTTACAAAGTTAGTCTAACCCTTTCAAAAACACATATGGTAACTCATGCATTATGAAATTCACCTCAAATTTAGAAAAAATGGGTGAGTCTTGGGGTGGGAAGGACTTTGACATGTTGCCCTACTAGACATGCTATTGTACATTCTTAGAAAATAGGAAATTTGAGTGGGTTGAGGTGGAAGTTGGTCTGAAAAGTCAGATTATACCTTTTTTTTAATTACTCATCCCACAAGCATTATGCTTATTGGTGGCATTGGGTATAAGATAGACATGATTCCAAGGCTTTATTAGCTGACAAGTTCTAGTTCTCATGATATAATTTAGTGTTGAATGTACAGTACAATGAATGACAAATTACAGCAGCAGTAATGTCTTTTCTCTTGAATTCGTTCATGTCATCTCTACTCTATAAAACATAGAATTCAATCCTTCTAGAAGTTCTAAGCACCATGTTTCTATAATTGGGAAGTCACAGTTCGATCATTAGACGGTGATTTACTATCAGCTGCAACTGGCCATTGTGTCTTGCTTAAAACTGTTAACTAGCCCTAATGTGACTTTTTTCTCTAAACTGTTATTGAAGTTGGGGTCACAGTCTATACCCCAAAAAGCCAAGTTGAGCCACCCAACCATCAATTAAAACAGCCAAATGAATAAGCAGGAAGCATCAAAGGTAGATGATGTATTTGATGCAGACATATTGAAAAGAGGGACAAAGACATCTGGGGGCCGCACTGAAGTCTTATCATCATGTCCTGAAAGGAGACAAAAGTTTAAACAGTGTTACCGAAATGCCTACCTAAGCAGTCCCGCTCAGGATGTGGCCATGCCCACCACTGACCTATCTTTCTGTGTTGGAATAATGTTCTTTTCAAATGTATACACCTTACCCTTGTTCATTCAAATGCTGATTTCTCCCCCCCCCCCTTACTCTCTGGGTTCAATCCAGATATTGCATTGTGATACTCATTCTTAGCATCCTGTCTCAACTCTCGTGTAAACAGGACAAAATAAAGCAACTAGACACAATGTTGAGCAGGGAGGAGAGAGAGGGCAGGAAATGAGTGGGAGGAGAAAGTGCGGGAAGATAGCTTGGAGAGAGAGCTGGAGGACAGATCTTGTAACTATGTAGAGAGATGGACTGGACCTAAGATATCACTAAAAGCAAGTATAATGTAGGAAATCTAAATGTTAGGAAACTGAAAGGGTTAGGCTAACTTTGTAACCTATATGTCTTCTAAAGCCTATAGTTTTGAGTTTTAGGTCCAGGTTAAGCTAAAGCCTCTTAGTACCTTTCCAGAGAATGGAGGAATGTGACCCTATCTGTGAGGACAGATAGAAAAAAAGGCAAGCAAGCAATGACCTTCACTCAACAAAAAGAAGGACGAGACCCTTGTCTTTGAGATAGCGTTTCTTAGCAATGAACCTAGACTTCTTCTGAGTAGCATTTGACCTCCAGCCAAAAGTTGGTAGCCCCTAATCTTCAAGGATGAGCTAACCACCCCCACCTTCAATTTCAGCTGCATCCACACTTGGCAGGACTGGCCAAGCTTGAGCACCTAAGACTAACCAATTATCTTACTTTATAGCTTCCTCATCCAATCCTAAATTGCCAAGACTACAACTTCAAATCTCCCGCAATTTTTCTTTTAAAAACCTAAAGGCCTTTGTCTCCTGGTGCCACTCTTTGCTGACCAGCAGGGGTGACCCCATTGTGCAATGGTTAATAAACCTCTTGCTTTTGCAACGAGTCTTGGTCTGGGGGAGTTTCTGGGAAGGGCGTGATCTTGACCTCCTGAGCTGTGAGACCCCAGGTCTTACAAAACTATGAGTGCATGGAGGTTTAGGAGGGAGTAATTATTGCCCAGCATTGTGTTCTAGAGAGAAATACCAATTTCTTAAGGTCTGTTGTGTTAATAGTCTGATAGCTAAAGGGTCTCTTTAGCATATATTTATTTCATCCAGATCAATTATATTTGGGTTTCTGCATGAGAGTTACTTGGTTTTGCCCTGCACCAATAAAATGCAAACAGAATCTTTTTATGGACCTATCTGGTTAATTCACCCATGCAAAAGCTTTTCAGATAACCTAAAAGGCACTGAAATTTTTATTTAAAAAACAAAACAAAACACCAACAACATAAAAAAACAGTGGTTCTGTCTGCATTCCATCTGGTGAGTATTATTTCCACTCTCTATGACCACTTTGAAATGGGAGTGGTACAGGATCTACTTTGTTTAAAGGTATTTTATAGACTATCTTAGTAACATAAACATATTCTTAGGGTCCTGCCAGCTTTATTTTGTCCCCCCTCCCTTCCAAAATAATCTGCTGGCTAGCTAATTAATTTTTCTGCTTCTCATTGAGATTATGGTGAGTGACAGTGCAGTGTTTCTATGGGAAATGAATACATGGAGACAACATAGGGGGAGGCATCTGACTCCCATTTCAGGGTTGAGGATGAGGAAGAGACCCTTCAAACCAAAGCCTGGGTAAGAAATGGTAAACAGGGTTCACAAAGGGGCCTTTCACTAAGAGGAGAGAAAAGAAGGTACCTCACGGAAGAGGATCACGTCTCAAGGCAAGTTACAAGATACAATGAACCTGTAGGTGCAGATGGACTTCTCCTCACCTTGGTGCCTCTCTTTTGCTCTTTCCTAGGACACTGATCATGTTCTCAAATATAGTGTGTAAGAAAAGGCTGCTATCGTTCACATCATTTTTAGTAATTTTCTGGATGATTTTTGCAATTTCTCAACATTCTGCAAAGGTAGGCACACATTTTTCCACAGCTGCTACCTGCGTGAGCTATATCCTCAGATCCCATTATCCATTCTCCCATTCCAACTGGGCTTCTTTCCTCCTGACCTACCGATGATGATGATGGGGGTGGAGACAGGCAGGGAACACACTGACTGATTCTACTGTCTCACTTCCCAGCCATTCTCAGTGCCTTATAATCAACCTTCTGCCTCTCACTGGCCCCCCAAATAGCCCTTGTTAATTAAGGCCACCAACTGCCATATCACTAAATAAATATTCATCATTAAATCATGATAATATGGGTGCATATTATCGTTGGCTTTCTAAATCCAGCCTGCTACTACCTTTTTCCATGCAATTGTTCTTTTTAGTAACCAGTATGCCTTCCAATTCTGGATATTAAGCAATAATTAGAAAAGACTTACCACTGGAAGTTTATAGAAGAATTCAGATGTGAATTTGCATGCATGTATATACAGATAGATAGATAGAGATAGATATTTTTTCCTTCTGAATCTATCACTATGACATGCACTCCCATGTTTATATAGATTGTTATGATATGTTTGTATATAAAGGTATTAAACATATCTATATATGTCTATATAAATATGTAATATATAAACAGTTTATACATATAAACATGTAATAATGTTTCGGAGAGAAAGAATTGAAGAGCCATATTCATGGGTGGGAAAAACCTTCACTTTCTTTGTATTATACTAATCAGGTTTTAGAATAAATCACAAAACCAAATGAACAGTTTTCTTCATTTTTCACATTAGTAATAATTGCAATAGCCAACAAAACTATTCAGCCATCTGTCCTGTGGGAAACTAGCAAAAAGTAGTTACAGAGTGCAAGGTATATAGGATTGGGAAGAGCAAACTCATGTTCATCAACTTCTTATTCTCCAGGCTCCTACTTTAGAATGAATATATTTCTGTAAAACTCTAACTCATTGTAAGTAAAAATGGCTGGGAGCAGGTCCGTTTTTATAATTCGTTACACTTCTTGTCATTTCAGCTTTGGACTGCTCTAAACACATCTATCTCCTTCCAGCCCTGGAACACTTCCATGAAGTCTTCACCTCCTGAAATTTCAATGAACCAGTCAAAGTCACCATCCCATTCAGAGCTGAGAGTCAGGGAGATCTTGGAGAAGTTAAACCAGCAGATCCCACCCAGGCCCTTCCCCCACCTCAACACCACCACCAGCGCCACACACAGCATAGCCACCATCCTCAACCCTCTAGACAAGTACTGCGTGGGGAACCAGTTGCATGTGCTGCTGGAGGCAAGGGATTACCTGGGACGCAGAAAGGAGTATGGTGGGGACTTCCTGAGGGCCAGGATGTCCTCCCCAGCCCTGAAGGCAGGCGCCTCTGGAAAGGTGACAGACTTCAACAATGGCACCTACCTCATCAGCTTCACTCTGTTCTGGGAGGGCCCGGTCTCCCTGTCTGTCCTTCTCATACACCCCAGTGAAGGAGTGTCAGCTCTCTGGAGAGCAAGGAACCAAGGCTATGATAGAATTGCCTTCAAAGGCGCATTTGCTAATGGCACCTCCCAGGTCTCAGCTGAATGTGGCCTGATCCTAAACTCAAGGAATGAACTCTGCAAATACCTGCTCCGTGGTGGTGAAGAAGTCTTCTACTGTGTGAAGCCCCAACACATGCCCTGTGAGGCCCTGACCCACATGTCTACCAGGCAGCAAGGTGTTTCTCATCTCACTGCCAAAGAAAAAGGCCTTTTCCAGAAGTGAGTATCCTTTCAGTACAATGAGAGGTACTGAGCAGGACCCTCAGGTGCTTCCTCCACTCAAGATTCTGGTAAGACCTGTGCTGTCTTTACTGGGCCCCCTGTTCATGCCACCATGTGCATTCCCATTGACATAGTCAGTGAAAGGGGCTGCCCAATGAAAAGGAACCCAATGAAGCGCATGCCTCTGCT